TGAGAGAGAGTGTGTGTGTGTGTGTGTGAGAGAGAGTGTGTGTGTGTGTGTGTGAGAGAGAGTGTGTGTGTGTGTGAGAGAGAGTGTGTGTGTGTGTGAGAGAGAGTGTGTGTGTGTGTGAGAGAGAGTGTGTGTGTGTGTGAGAGAGAGTGTGTGTGTGTGTGAGAGAGAGTGTGTGTGTGTGTGAGTGTGTGTGTGTGTGTGTGTGAGAGAGAGTGTGTGTGAGAGTGTGTGTGTGTGTGTGTGTTGCTCACTGCGTCCATCAGTGTGAACTGCTCTGCCACCACAGTGGGGTCAAAGCTCAGGAAATCGTGTCGATCCTCATTGAATCCGTTCTCCTGCAGCAGAGTGAACGCACAGCAGCCCTGATCCAGCACTGCAGACAGAAACACACGTCACGCCTGCTCTGCTGAACACTTTACTGCCATTAGATTTACTCACACACTCTAAAAGCTTCATCTGAGCCAGAAGAAATCAACAATCACAATTATATGCCAGGTATTATATGGTATATATGGAATTCCTGTAGATTAAATAATAGATCATAGCGCTCGCAACGCTAAGGTCATGGGTTCGACTCCCAGGGAAAGCAAGAACTGGTCAAATGTATGATTGAAATGTATGTCGCTTTGGATAAAAGCATCTTCTAAATGCATAAATGTTAATTATGAAGTATTTTTTTCCTCCTTATACATACTGTATTTTTGCTTGCCACTGCAGCCTTTATCATGTTACAGTAATTATGCCTGAAATCAGAAACGCTACTAATTCAAATTGAAACCATACGTTATATTTTTTTAACATTGTCACTTAAATTACTTCTAATTACATTTGGAAATAGTTAAACTCACAATTTGACTTTTATTAATAGTGATGCACAGAATCAATTTAGTTCAGTTAAAGGTAAAATTGACTGTAATGCACAGTTCTGTTTTCTTCTCATGAGTGGACGATCAGCATCAGGTTGAGCTGATGGACCGATCGAAGCTGACGAACCGTCCCGGGCTGATTCCTGCTGGAGTCTGCGGTGGAACTGGCTCAGCAGGTTGCAGGCCCGGCGCTCCAGATCCGACCCGGGGAAGCTGAGCTGCAGGTAGTGGATCAGGCGTCTCAGGCAGCTGTAGTCCGGAGGCTTCCAGAAGTCCTCCGAGTACTGATCCAACCAGGCGCCCAGGATAGAGGAGACGGTGCTGCGCACGAGACACAAAAGAAACACAGGAACTAGATTCGTACCAGTCTTTTTTAAATAAGCGGCATGCAAACTGTCCATCTCAGGTGTGTGTGTTTCAATCATGACGGCACGTACTTCCTGAGCTCCGTTCGCTCATCAGGGGTCATTCTGCGTGCTTCTGCGCCCGGCTGCAGTTTAGCGTATCTGTGAAAACACACATGCTCATATGAAGTCATCTGACCAAACCTCCATCTGAGAACATCCTCATCGATCAAAGCCAGGGGCGTCTGTGTGTGTGTGTGTGCGCGCGTGTGTCTCTGTGTGTGTGTGAGTGAGTGAGTGAGTGAGTGAGTGTGTGTGTGTCTGTCTGTCTCTCTGTGTGTGTGTGTGTGTGTGTGTGTGTGAGAGAGAGAGAGAGTGAGTGAGTGTGTCTCTGTGTGTGTGTGTGTGTGTGAGTGTGTGTGTGTGTGTGTGTGTGTCTGTGTGTCTGTGTGTGTGTGTGTGTGTGTGTGAGAGTGTGTGTGTGAGTGAGTGAGTGAGTGAGTGAGTGTGTGTGTGTCTGTCTGTCTCTCTGTGTGTGTGTGTGTGTGTGTGTGTGTGAGAGAGAGAGAGAGTGAGTGAGTGTGTCTCTGTGTGTGTGTGTGTGTGTGAGTGTGTGTGTGTGTGTGTGTGTGTCTGTGTGTCTGTGTGTGTGTGTGTGTGTGTGTGAGAGTGTGTGTGTGAGTGAGTGAGTGAGTGAGTGAGTGTGTGTGTGTCTGTCTGTCTCTCTGTGTGTGTGTGTGTGTGTGTGTGTGTGAGAGAGAGAGAGAGTGAGTGAGTGTGTCTCTGTGTGAGTGTGAGTGTGTGTGTGTGAGTGTCTGTCTGTGTGTGTGTGTGTGTGTGAGAGAGTGAGTGAGTGTGTCTCTGTGTGTGTGTGTGTCACCTGTTGAGCAGCAGGTCCAGCACTTGTTTGGTGGTGGCGAAGGTCCTGTAGGTGCAGAGGAAGATGGTGACGTAGGTGGAGTCGTTTCCTCTGAAGGCGGTGACCATGTACTCCACCAGCCGCTCCAGTGTTCCTGCTTTAATGGTGCGCAGCTTACACGTCTCGTACAGACTGAGGCCCGAGTCTGAGTCCACACCCAGCCAGCGCTGACTCTTACTGGACGACTGGTACATCTGGACCTTCCTCAGCGTGATGCTGAACACAGCACCATCCTCCACCTCCTCGCCGATCTCCTGACTCGCATTCTGCACACACACACACACCAACCAACCAACATTAGTGTGTTTTAGCACTATAATAGACAGACAGGTTGATGAATTCTCTCTTGCAGATGAATTATCTTGTACTAAAACAACTAAAACTAAAATAAAAATGACAAAAACACACAACAGAATTACTAAAATGTTCATGAAAGCCAGAAAAAGACCAGAAAATAAACTCTAACTCAAAATATTAACAAAACCTATAACAGTATTTCAGTTGTACTAAAATAACAGGGGTGTAAACACACATTTAAACCAGTTCAGGGCTCGTATCACACATTAAATCGTTTGTTCTGAACGTGCAGGATTTATATCTGCCTGCCAGCTCCTGAGGCACAGCTTAACGCACACCAAACCAACCAATACACATGACTGCAGATAATGCTGAATTCACATATTCACTACATTAGCTAAAAGATAAACTTGTTACACAATCTTTACTATTTATCATATGTATATGTGACGGTATATGCATGTATATATATATCTTGCATTATTACTTGTTCAAATATTATTTCAATTGCTCTGTTGTTCCAAACTACTTTCTGTTGTATATGTTCTCTATTCCTATGTATGCTTTGGCAATGCAAAATGTGTTTTTGTCATGCCAATAAAGCTGTCTGAATTGAACTGAATTGAACTGAATTGAGAGAGAAAAACTCATTTGACCTCCAAACCAAACTTCATTGTTATTCGGCCCTAAATAGAATCAAGAAATTGGCAAATTACGTATCAATTAAAAAATTAAAAGAAAGACAAATTCTTTCAAAATATCGACACAGTGACCACGACTTAGAAATTAGTGTGTTTTAGCACTATAATAGACAGACAGGTTGATGAATTCTCTCTTGCAGATGAATTATCTTGTACTAAAACAACTAAAACTAAAATAAAAATGACAAAAACACACAACAGAATTACTAAAATGTTCATGAAAGCCAGAAAAAGACCAGAAAATAAACTCTAACTCAAAATATTAACAAAACCTATAACAGTATTTCAGTTGTACTAAAATAACAGGGGTGTAAACACACATTTAAACCAGTTCAGGGCTCGTATCACACATTAAATCGTTTGTTCTGAACGTGCAGGATTTATATCTGCCTGCCAGCTCCTGAGGCACAGCTTAACGCACACCAAACCAACCAATACACATGACTGCAGATAATGCTGAATTCACATATTCACTACATTAGCTAAAAGATAAACTTGTTACACAATCTTTACTATTTATCATATGTATATGTGACGGTATATGCATGTATATATATATCTTGCATTATTACTTGTTCAAATATTATTTCAATTGCTCTGTTGTTCCAAACTACTTTCTGTTGTATATGTTCTCTATTCCTATGTATGCTTTGGCAATGCAAAATGTGTTTTTGTCATGCCAATAAAGCTGTCTGAATTGAACTGAATTGAGAGAGAAAAACTCATTTGACCTCCAAACCAAACTTCATTGTTATTCGGCCCTAAATAGAATCAAGAAATTGGCAAATTACGTATCAATTAAAAAATTAAAATAAAGACAAATTCTTTCAAAATATCGACACAGTGACCACGACTTAGAAATAGAGAAAGAAAGACGAAAAATCCTGGATACAGAGTGAACAGCGATTATGCAAACAAAACTAAGATCATAAGATTTCAGGGAAAAAACACAGAAATCTAGAAGACAAACATATATTTACTGTAAACACCAGCAGCAGGGCACTGCACGCTATCCGATCAAAATGATTCTAAATAAACCGTGTCATACTATAGCCCTGTATGGCGTGAGATCTGGGGCCCAGCGAGTAACAGCCTTCAGAAGCACAGAAACACCTGATAATACATGTAGTCTTCCCACAAATCTAATGATTAAAAAAGAGTTTTAAAGCCCTGGATCCACTTAAACTCTCGTTCTGAAGAACCTCTTCATTTTAAAGCACTAAAAACACAAGTAGAACCATCAGTGTTTATATAAATATATATATGGATGTATATTATATGTATTTTTGTTTTGCTTGTTTTCATTTGGAAATGTACAATACTTAAGCAATATGTACCCAAGTATGTCATGCCAATAAAGCAATATATGAATCGTGAGAGAGACGCAGAGAGAGAGTGTTAATTTGGCTACAAATGAAATCAATTACATATTTCAAAAAGCAGCATATATAAAAGACAAATTCTTTCAAAATATCGACACAGTGACCACGACTTAGAAATAGAGAAAGAAAGACGAAAAATCCTGGATACAGAGTGAACAGCGATTATGCAAACAAAACTAAGATCATAAGATTTCAGGGAAAAAACACAGAAATCTAGAAGACAAACATATATTTACTGTAAACACCAGCAGCAGGGCACTGCACGCTATCCGATCAAAATGATTCTAAATAAACCGTGTCATACTATAGCCCTGTATGGCGTCAGATCTGGGGCCCAGCGAGTAACAGCCTTCAGAAGCACAGAAACACCTGATAATACATGTAGTCTTCCCACAAATCTAATGATTAAAAAAAGAGTTTTAAAGCCCTGGATCCACTTAAACTCTCGTTCTGAAGAACCTCTTCATTTTAAAGCACTAAAAACACAAGTAGAACCATCAGTGTTTATATAAATATATATATGGATGTATATTATATGTATTTTTGTTTTGCTTGTTTTCATTTGGAAATGTACAATACTTAAGCAATATGTACCCAAGTATGTCATGCCAATAAAGCAATATATGAATCGTGAGAGAGACGCAGAGAGAGAGTGTTAATTTGGCTACAAATGAAATCAATTACATATTTCAAAAAGCAGCATATATAAGTGAATTGAAAAAGAAAGGCAAAAATTCACTAAAAAACAGCAAAAGATGAAAAATGGTTTGACTCAGACTGCAAAACATTAAGAAAACAACTTAGAAAATTATCAAAGCCCGAGTCAGATTGGCTTCCTTCCGAATCACAGAACGACTGACCACATTTACACCCTACACACCCTAATCAATAAACACGTAAAACAGACCAAACAACGGAAAAACATTTGCAAGTGAGACTTGTGAATGTATGTTAGCCATGTGTACCTGTCATTTTGCAAACTGACTTCCCAAGGTATTTGGATTCTGTTTTTGTTGCTTGTCTTGTGGATCCTAATAAAATAATAAAATAATAAAATGTGTGTGTGTGTGTGTGTGTGAGAGAGTGTGTGTGTGAGTGAGTGTGTGAGAAAGAGTGTGCATGTGTGTGTGAGAGTGTGTGTGTGAGAGTGTGTGTGTGAGTGAGTGTGTGAGAGAGAGTGTGCGTGTGTGTGTGTCTGTGTGAGAGAGAGTGTGCGTGTGTCTGTGTGTGAGAGAGTGTACGTGTGTGTGTGTCTGTGTGAGAGAGAGTGTGCGTGTGTCTGTGTGTGAGAGAGTGTACGTGTGTGTGTGTCTGTGTGAGAGAGAGTGTGCGTGTGTCTGTGTGTGAGAGAGTGTACGTGTGTGTGTGTCTGTGTGAGAGAGAGTGTGCGTGTGTCTGTGTGTGAGAGAGTGTACGTGTGTGTGTGTCTGTGTGAGAGAGAGTGTGCGTGTGTCTGTGTGTGAGAGAGTGTACGTGTGTGTGTGTCTGTGTGAGAGAGAGTGTGCGTGTGTCTGTGTGTGAGAGAGTGTACGTGTGTGTGTGTCTGTGTGAGAGAGAGTGTGCGTGTGTCTGTGTGTGAGAGAGTGTACGTGTGTGTGTGTCTGTGTGAGAGAGAGTGTGCGTGTGTCTGTGTGTGAGAGAGTGTACGTGTGTGTGTGTCTGTGTGAGAGAGAGTGTGCGTGTGTCTGTGTGTGAGAGAGTGTACGTGTGTGTGTGTCTGTGTGAGAGAGAGTGTGCGTGTGTCTGTGTGTGAGAGAGTGTACGTGTGTGTGTGTCTGTGTGAGAGAGAGTGTGCGTGTGTCTGTGTGTGAGAGAGTGTACGTGTGTGTGTGTCTGTGTGAGAGAGAGTGTGCGTGTGTCTGTGTGTGAGAGAGTGTACGTGTGTGTGTGTCTGTGTGAGAGAGAGTGTGCGTGTGTCTGTGTGTGAGAGAGTGTACGTGTGTGTGTGTCTGTGTGAGAGAGAGTGTGCGTGTGTCTGTGTGTGAGAGAGTGTACGTGTGTGTGTGTCTGTGTGAGAGAGAGTGTGCGTGTGTCTGTGTGTGAGAGAGTGTACGTGTGTGTGTGTCTGTGTGAGAGAGAGTGTGCGTGTGTCTGTGTGTGAGAGAGTGTACGTGTGTGTGTGTCTGTGTGAGAGAGAGTGTGCGTGTGTCTGTGTGTGAGAGAGTGTACGTGTGTGTGTGTCTGTGTGAGAGAGAGTGTGCGTGTGTCTGTGTGTGAGAGAGTGTACGTGTGTGTGTGTCTGTGTGAGAGAGAGTGTGCGTGTGTCTGTGTGTGAGAGAGTGTACGTGTGTGTGTGTCTGTGTGAGAGAGAGTGTGCGTGTGTCTGTGTGTGAGAGAGTGTACGTGTGTGTGTGTCTGTGTGAGAGAGAGTGTGCGTGTGTCTGTGTGTGAGAGAGTGTACGTGTGTGTGTGTCTGTGTGAGAGAGAGTGTGCGTGTGTCTGTGTGTGAGAGAGTGTACGTGTGTGTGTGTCTGTGTGAGAGAGAGTGTGCGTGTGTCTGTGTGTGAGAGAGTGTACGTGTGTGTGTGTCTGTGTGAGAGAGAGTGTGCGTGTGTCTGTGTGTGAGAGAGTGTACGTGTGTGTGTGTCTGTGTGAGAGAGAGTGTGCGTGTGTCTGTGTGTGAGAGAGTGTACGTGTGTGTGTGTCTGTGTGAGAGAGAGTGTGCGTGTGTCTGTGTGTGAGAGAGTGTACGTGTGTGTGTGTCTGTGTGAGAGAGAGTGTGCGTGTGTCTGTGTGTGAGAGAGTGTACGTGTGTGTGTGTCTGTGTGAGAGAGAGTGTGCGTGTGTCTGTGTGTGAGAGAGTGTACGTGTGTGTGTGTCTGTGTGAGAGAGAGTGTGCGTGTGTCTGTGTGTGAGAGAGTGTACGTGTGTGTGTGTCTGTGTGAGAGAGAGTGTGCGTGTGTCTGTGTGTGAGAGAGTGTACGTGTGTGTGTGTCTGTGTGAGAGAGAGTGTGCGTGTGTCTGTGTGTGAGAGAGTGTACGTGTGTGTGTGTCTGTGTGAGAGAGAGTGTGCGTGTGTCTGTGTGTGAGAGAGTGTACGTGTGTGTGTGTCTGTGTGAGAGAGAGTGTGCGTGTGTCTGTGTGTGAGAGAGTGTACGTGTGTGTGTGTCTGTGTGAGAGAGAGTGTGCGTGTGTCTGTGTGTGAGAGAGTGTACGTGTGTGTGTGTCTGTGTGAGAGAGAGTGTGCGTGTGTCTGTGTGTGAGAGAGTGTACGTGTGTGTGTGTCTGTGTGAGAGAGAGTGTGCGTGTGTCTGTGTGTGAGAGAGTGTACGTGTGTGTGTGTCTGTGTGAGAGAGAGTGTGCGTGTGTCTGTGTGTGAGAGAGTGTACGTGTGTGTGTGTCTGTGTGAGAGAGAGTGTGCGTGTGTCTGTGTGTGAGAGAGTGTACGTGTGTGTGTGTCTGTGTGAGAGAGAGTGTGCGTGTGTCTGTGTGTGAGAGAGTGTACGTGTGTGTGTGTCTGTGTGAGAGAGAGTGTGCGTGTGTCTGTGTGTGAGAGAGTGTACGTGTGTGTGTGTCTGTGTGAGAGAGAGTGTGCGTGTGTCTGTGTGTGAGAGAGTGTACGTGTGTGTGTGTCTGTGTGAGAGAGAGTGTGCGTGTGTCTGTGTGTGAGAGAGTGTACGTGTGTGTGTGTCTGTGTGAGAGAGAGTGTGCGTGTGTCTGTGTGTGAGAGAGTGTACGTGTGTGTGTGTCTGTGTGAGAGAGAGTGTGCGTGTGTCTGTGTGTGAGAGAGTGTACGTGTGTGTGTGTCTGTGTGAGAGAGAGTGTGCGTGTGTCTGTGTGTGAGAGAGTGTACGTGTGTGTGTGTCTGTGTGAGAGAGAGTGTGCGTGTGTCTGTGTGTGAGAGAGTGTACGTGTGTGTGTGTCTGTGTGAGAGAGAGTGTGCGTGTGTCTGTGTGTGAGAGAGTGTACGTGTGTGTGTGTCTGTGTGAGAGAGAGTGTGCGTGTGTCTGTGTGTGAGAGAGTGTACGTGTGTGTGTGTCTGTGTGAGAGAGAGTGTGCGTGTGTCTGTGTGTGAGAGAGTGTACGTGTGTGTGTGTCTGTGTGAGAGAGAGTGTGCGTGTGTCTGTGTGTGAGAGAGTGTACGTGTGTGTGTGTCTGTGTGAGAGAGAGTGTGCGTGTGTGTGTGTCTGTGTGAGAGAGTGTGCATGTGTGTGTGTGTGTGTGTCTGTGTGAGTGTGC